GCGGCCCCGCTCTCAGGGGACTCGCTGTCGAGGGTGCTGCTTGCAACTGCCGCGCCCATTTGCGAGGCCCCCAAGAGGCCCCCGGAGGTCCCCACGTGTCGCATGTAGAAGGAAGGAAGGAGGGAGGAGGCGGAGGAGGAGGAGGAGGAGGATCAGGAGGAGGAGGAGGAGGAGGAAGAAGAGGAAGAGGAGGAGGGATGAAGACGAGGACGAAGAGGAGGAGGAGGAGGAGGAGGAGGACTAAAACAGGGCCCGGACACCCTCCAGGATTGTCCCCCTTCTGGCCCATGACATTTTTTACCCCTTCCTGTGCCTCCCAGGCATCCCCCCCCCCGCTGCTCAAACAGCTCCCGAGGCTGCCAAAAAAGGAAGACGCCCGAATTAGACAGTTCAAGAGGACCCGATGACGTCCTAAGAAGGCTCCAAGATGCGCCCCGAAAGGGCCCCAGGAGGCCAAAATGTGTTTCGTCCCTGAAGCAAGCAATTTGTATAGCGACGGACCCATCCTTGTGCAGTCATGTGTAGCGCAAGGTGCGGGCCTCTCTTCATACACTCCCCTCGGCGGGGCAATGCGTAAAGATGGCTGCTGCGGAGCACGCGTGCACTGGTGCGCCGAACTCCTTGCGGGACACGATCCGCGTGAAGGGTGTGCCGACTAATTCGGATGTCCCCGCGCGAACACGCCCTCTGAGGCCGCAGGTGGACCTCCTCTGAGCACGACCCGTGCGAGGCATGTTCCGAAATGGGCGGGGGGACGCCGCTCGAAGCTGCCCAGTGGTGCCATAGGTGGAACTCCTTCTGGGGAATGATTTGCGTGACGGGTGCGCCGACATGGGCGGGGGGACGCTGTACGAACTTCGCATCTGGGCCTCTAGGTGGTGCTCCTTGTGGGCACAATCCGCGTGATGGACTGTGCCGCAATGGCCGGGGGGGGGCGCAGTGCGAACCCTGCCTCTGGGGCCGCATGTGGAGATCCCTGTGTGCCAAGATCCGTGTGAGAGGTGTGTCGACGTCGGCGGGGGGGGGCGGCATGCGAACCTCGTCTCCGGGGCCGTCCGTGGAGCGTTTTGCGGGCCACGATCCGTGTGAGAGGTGTTGAGAGGTGTGCCGAATTGAATTGGGCGACGCTACGAAGGTTTCCTCTGGTGCTACAAATGCAGTTGCTTGCGGGGCCCGATCTGCCTGAGGTGCGTGCCATTCTGTGAACCTTGTCTCTGGGGACGCAGGCGGAGCGCCCTGTGGGGCACGGTCCCTGTGAGAGGTGTGCCGACATGGGCGGGGGTGACGCTGAGCCAAGCTTGTCTCCGGGGCCACAGGTGAAGCTCCCCGAGGGGCACGGCCTGTGTGACAGCGTACGCCCTCCTGTGCCGAACACTCTCTCTCTCTCTCTCTCTCTCTCTCTCTCTATATATATATATTACAACTAGAGCGTGCTAGAGCCGAAGAGCGCGCGCGAAGCGCGCGTGGTTCTCGTGTATGTGTATGCAGTTGCCTCTGCCTCTCAAGCCTGGTGATGTACCCGGACGAAATCTTCGTGCTGCTGGGGCACAACGGCGCGGGCAAGACCACCACGATAGGCGTGCTGGCTGGCCTGGTGCGCCCCACCGGCGGCACGGTGCGCATCCTGGGCAAGAGCGTGCCCGCGCGGATGCACGAGGTCCGCCGGAGCTTCGGGCTGTGCCCCCAGCACAACGTGCTCTGGGACGAGCTCACCTGCCTGGAGCACATGGACTTCTTCCTGCGCCTGCGCGGCGGCCACCGAGGCCGCGGCACCGGCGCGGAGAGGCGGGCGCTGGCCGGCGAGCTGCTCGAGGAGGTGGGCCTCGGGCCCAGGGTCCGCTACCGCGCCAGCTCGCTGAGCGGCGGCATGAAGCGCAAGCTGAGCGTGGCGATCGCGTTCAACGGGAGTCCTGGGTTCGTGATCCTGGACGAGCCCACAAGCGGCATGGACCCTTTCAGCCGCCGCGTGCTCTGGGACTTCGTGAAGCACCGGCGGGAGGGGCGCGTGGTGCTGCTGACCACGCACTTCATGGACGAGGCCGACGTGTTGGCAGATCGCATCGCCGTGATGGCCCACGGCCAGCTACAGACATACGGCGACCCCCAGTTCCTGAAGCGCAAGTTCGGCTGCGGCTACATCGTCACCGTCGTGCTCGCTGAATCGGGGCGCTCCCGAGAGTCCGACAGGAAGGCCTTGGAGGCAGACGTGAAGCAGACCATGGACGGTGTCGAGGGAATCTCTCTCGGAGCCGTGGGCAAGGAGGTGCTGGTCCAGGTGCCCTTCTACTCCGCCTCAAGCCTCCCACGGCTCTTCCGTTTACTGGCTCATCGCCGCGAGGGCAAGCCCGAGTTTGGGGCTGTGGCCAGCTTCGGTGTCAGCGTCTCGAGCCTCGAGGAGGTGTTCCTCAAGATTGCCAGCGGCAACGTCAGCAGCGTCGAGGAGGAAGCGACCAAGTTCGACGCCCCGACGACGGAGAGGGGCGCGGCGGAGGGAGATCACGACTCGACTCGGATGGCACCCGCAGCCGATGCGCTCGCGGGCCCACCGGCGGCGCCACCACCACCACCACCACCACCACCGGGGGAGGCCACCGCAGGGGACGATGCCGCCGGCTTCGGGCTGACGTCGCTCCCCACCAGCTCGCAGCTCACAGGCCAGATGCGCGCGCTCCTCGCGAGGCGCGCGAAGTCCGCGACGCGCGACCGCCGCACCTTCTGCCTCGTGTGCCTGGTCTCGCCAGTCACTCTTCTTGTAGGCTGCTTCTTCATCTCGGAGGCGACGACAGGGCCGAATAGCCCGGAGGCGGGCATTACACGCATTCGCCCGGGAGCCTTGTCGAAGACAGATCATCGGCGCCCCTGGATACATGTATTCCTCTCCCCTCGGCTATTCGCCCCTATCGTCGCCTCTGATCATCTGGCTCCTCCTGCGGCTGATGAACCTAATCACATCCGTAACTGTGCAGCGCCTGGTGCCCGAACTGGACGCCGCACGGGTGATCTGGGGCTCCCTGGACACCAATCCCTTTCCAGACGTGCCCAGCGCCCAGACGGTCCTCCTGACCGAGCAGGAGCTCGAGCAAGTGGACGTCAGCGTCAGTCGCTTTTTCGCCAACACCAGCAACGCGGACCGGTCGGGCAGCACGCCGTTCGTGCGTCCCTTCAGTACGCAGAGCATCATGCCGCCCGACAGCTATTGCCAAGACATGGGCCTCACGAAGGTCACCTGTTCGCAACGCTGGCGCTCGCACGTGCTGCTGTTTGCGGAGAAGGTTGTTGAGATGGATGGCGAGTGGCAGGCCGCTGTGGTCTCCATCGACGGCCACCTGACGGTGTGGGCCAACGACGTCACGCAGATTCACGGCGTGCCCATGGCTCTCAATGCCCTTCTTGGGAAAGCATGGAATTCGGAGGTGTCTGTCTCCACGGGCATGACCGCCAATGACCCTCCGGCATCTACCGGGGGTATCACCTTGTCGGGTTCGGATCTGTTCGAGTACTTGATGCCCATCGTGCTTGTAAGCGTGGCGTTTGCATTCGTGCCCACAGGGATCATGCAGTTCATGATGGTGGAGAAGTGTACTGGAACAAAGAGCCAGCTGCTTATCTCGGGGTGCACGTACCACGCATACTGGTTCTCAAATTTGCTGTGGGATATGATGTTCGGCCTGCCGCCTGTACTGGTGTCATGCCTCTTCTTTTGGGCCTTTGACTTCGTGTATCTCCTGAAGGACATGGGCGTTGTCGTTGTGATGATGCTGCTCTTCATCCCTGGCGCCTGCGGGTTTGCTTATGTCGGCTCGCAGTTGTCATCGTCGGAAGCCATGGGCACTACGATGATGTTGTCTCTGAACGGCCTGCTCGGCACTGGCCTTGTGCTCTGCGTGATCATCGGTGACCTCATCGTCGCTTTGCTGACCTTGTCTTACGCCCTCGAGGGCACCGGCAGCCTGGAAGAGAAGCTGGCAGATGATAGCGCCATCAACGTGGCGCAGGCGATGCACGACATTGGTCTGACGCTGGGCATGCCGCTGCCTGGCTTCTCGCTCGCGGCTGGCCTGTTCCGAATGTCTGTGAGACATCTGATTGTGTACCGGATCCTGCCGGGCGTGCTGAGCGTGCAGCAGCTGGAGCAGCTCCTGAACGAGCTGGAGCTCACGAGCGGCGAACACATCCCATATCCGTACACGCGCCCTCGCGGTCTGGCTTCCGGGGCGCGATCCCGCGGATACGCGGTCGCACGGACGCGTCCGCACGCTCCGTGCGGGGCTTGCGCGAAGAAAGAAACGCCCCGCATCCGTGGGGTCGTGGCCCGCGAGGCCGCGGGTACGGATATGCGTTTCGCCCACGAGGAGGCTCAGAGCGCCAGCGCCTTAGCCGGCGAGGCGGTGGAGCAGGCCCAGGACTTCCTGCTCGAGGCCTCCTCCTCCTCCTCCTCCTCCTCCTCCTCCTCCTCCTCCTCCTCCTCCTCCTCCTCCTCCTCCTCCTCCTCCTCCTCCTCCGGGGGCACGTCCGTATTTGTTTGGGGGGGGTGGGGTCGGCGGCCACTCGGGTCCAAGCAGCGGTGAGGCAGCGGTGGGGTGCAACGAGGCAAGCTGCGGGCAGAAGAGGGGAAGGCAGCGGGGACGAAAGGCGGAGAGGGGGGCGCGTGTGTGTATATATACATATAACGGGGGACCGGGTCCGGGGGCCCGGGGCCGGGACCTCGACCGCAAATGTGGGCTCCGGGGGGCCCGGAGGCTCGTCGGGGCTTGCCGGAGGCCTCCCCGGTCAGACAAGAGGGCCCCAGAAGCGCCCAAGACGGCCCAAGAAACTTCCAAGAGGCCTCCAAGAGGGCTCCGAGATGCTGAAGATGGCCTCCAGACGTCCAAGGACGCCCCCAAGAGGCCCCAAGAAGCCTCCAACATGCGTCCCAAGAGGGCCCCTAGACGCAAAAATTGCCCATTCCCTTCGTAAAACGTACATTTTCAACAAAGTTGCCTTTTGGGCTTTCCGACGTTACAGGACGGCCCAAGAGGCGCCCAAGACCGCCCCAAGACGGCCCAAGAAGCTTCCAAGAGGGCCCCAGGACAGCCCAAGAGGGCCCCAAGACGGCCCAAGAGGCGCCCAAGATGGCCCAAGAGGGCCCCAAGACGGGCCCAAGAGGGGGCCCAGAGGGGGACCACGAACCGCAAGCTCGAGCCTTCCGCCCCAAGAGGCCGCCAGGAGGCCCCCAGGAGGCCCCTCAAGAGGCCCCAGGAGACCCCCAAGAGGCCCAAAGGAGGCCCCGAGAAGCCCCAAATCGGCCCCCCAAATGCTTCGAACCTGCTTCCAGGAGGCCCCCGACAGGTTCAGAGGCTCCCAAGAAGCTACGTCAAACTCCCAGCGAGCGGCCGGACGAGGCCCCCCAAAAAATCCCAAGAGGGTTCCAGTATTTGTATCCTTCAGCGCTCTCTGGCCTTCTTTCCCCTGCCCCCTTCCCTGCGACTTTCGTTGACTCAAGCTCGCCTCCTCTCCATTTCCTCTCTCTGCCTCTCTATCTCTCTCTCTGTCTTCTTCTCTCTCTCTCTCTCCATCTCTCTTTTTTTTTTTCTCTCTCTCTCTCTCTCTCTCCTTCGCTCTCTGTCTGTCTGTCTCTCTCTCTCTCTCTCTCTCCCTCTCTTTCTCTCTCTTTCTCTTTCTTCCTTTCATATTCCGTGTCCTTGCGACCTTCTGCAGTCCCCGACGTCGCCACGGCTGGATTCGCTCGAGCGTGTCTTGTGATGCGCGGCGGTGCGAAGCCCGTCCCACTGATCAAGGCACAGGTACGAAATGATGGGTCCATCATTTCTTGCCTTCCCATGTGCGTTTTCCCAATCGATTCCTGGGCCCGAGGTCGCAAGAATTACGACGTCGGAGGTCTGGGGAGGCGGGAAGCACGACCTGGACCTCCGACGTCTTGGAAAAATCACGACGGCGGTTTCGGTCAATTTTCGGCCTCCGGGGCCCCTCGCAGGGTCCCGGGACCGTCAGAAAACGACTCAGGATGAAAAAAAAACACATCCCCAGGAAGTCGTCGAGAGGTCCAGGGGCCGCGCACAGAAAGCATCACGACATCGGACGTCCAGAGAGGAGGTAGGAACACGAGGAGGAGGGAGCCCAGACCTCCTGGCGACGCAACACCAAATACAACAAAAACTTCCCCGCGACTTCCCCCAGAGACTGTAACTACAGAAACTCCTTTCGTATTCCGGCCAGAAGCATCCAGAAACGATGTACATTAGCCTTGGCGGGGGGAGTGATGGCGATGGTGATGTTCATGATGACGACGGTGACGATCCTAGCTAGAACCTAAGCGCGCGCGAAGCGCGCGCGTGGTTCTAGTATATATATATATATATAGACGAACAGACATGGCACAGACATCATTTCACTGAGGTCCACGCGGATTTGTTAGATCGGCGCTGGGCTCCCTTGGCGGCGCCTCAGGCGCCGCCCCTGGCGCGCTCTGCGTGCCAGGGAGGGGTGTCAGAGCGACCCTCCGGGAAGTTGTGTCTATGCAGGTCTTGATCCTCTCTCTCTCTCTCTCTATATATATATATATATATATGCACCAGCCCCTTCCCAGCTTTCCAATTCATAGCCCGAGTTGTTTGTTGGTTGGCGCTTCGCATGTTTCCCAAAAGCTCTTGTGCTGTTGTGTGTTCGTTGCCTCGCCGCTGCGCCGCGCGGCGTCCTCCTCCTCTCCTCCTCTCCTTTCCCTCCTCCTCCTCCCCTCCCGCTCCCCCTCCCCTCCTCCTCCACTCTCCTCCCCTCTCCCCCTTCTCCTCTCCTCCCCCCATCCCCTTCCCCTCCCCCTCCCGTCCGCTTCCTGCCGCGGCTGCGCTGTTGCCGGTGTTCTGCCGTTGCCAGTCGCTGCCGTTGCCCCCAGCACCGCGTCCGTGTCGGCACCCCCTCACGGGGATCGTGCCCCATAGGGTGCTCCACTCATGGCCGCAGTGGAAGCATTCCTACAGCATCTCCGCGCCTTCTTCGGCACACCCCTCGCGCGAACAGCGCCTCGTAGAGGGTTCGATTCACGGCTCCTGCGGGGGCGTTCCCATGGCATCCCAGCGCTTCTTCCAGCACACCCCGCGCGCGGATCGTGCCCGGCAGGGAGCTCTTTGCGATTACGACCCCAGCAGGGGCGCTCCGACCGCGTAGGGAATTCCACCTGCGGCTGCCGTGGGGCTGTTCCCATAGCGTCTCCGTGCCGATTTCGGCACACCCCTCGCGCGCATCGTGCCCCGCAGCGTTTCTTCTCACGGCCCCACCGGGGCCCTTCCACGTTCTCAGCGTCCATCTCGGCACACCCCCCGCGCGGATCGTGCCCCACGAGGAGCTCCACCTGCGGCCCCCGCGGGCGGGTTCGCATAGTGACCCCCGCGCATTTCCGCGCACCTCTCACGCAGATCGTGCCCCATGGGGAGCTCCAGCTACCGCCCCAGCGGGGGCTCCGTGCATGCAGTCCTCCGCCCACTTCGGCACACCCTCCGCGCCGATCACGCGGGAGCTCAGCGCGCCTTCGCGCGCCTGGTCCGCCGCCCCCCCTTCGCTCTCCCCCAGAAGTCCATCCCTCGCGCGCAGCGCAAAACATGAGAAGAGGGCGACGCCCCGCGCGACACGCGGCTGCGCTGGGTTTCCTCCGCGCTACACCGTGGCCACAGGGGGTCCCTCGAGCAGATCCGGGACGCACAAGGCGCAAATCGCGGGCCCGATCGGCGTCTAGAACTGCTCACAGTTTAGAATTCGCGAATGGTTCTGGCAAAACGGCCACCCGAAATTTCACACACCGATGCGACCTAGAAAGTCACCTTGCACCCGAGCATTCACTGGCCTCAGTGGCCAAGGGATTCGACGACGGCCCTGGGCCTTCAGCTTCTCGCCACTGCGCCGCGCGCTTCCCCATCCGGCCGATGCTGCCGCGCCGGTGCCGGCCTCTGCTGTCGTTGCCCGTCCCCTGCTCACTTCGCCGCGCCCCTCGCACGGATTGCGCCTCGCGGCTGGCTCCACCTGTGGCTCCAGCGTGGCCGACTTTATGGCGTCTCCGCGCCCACTTCGGCACGCCCCTCGCGCGGACCGCGCCCTGCAGGGAGCTCCGTCTACGCCTCCAGCTGGGGCGTTCCCATCTCCTCTCCGCGCCCATGTCGGCACACCCTTCACACGGATCTTGCCTCACAAGGAGTTCCGACTGCAGCCCCCGGCAGGGGCGCTCCCGTAGCCTCGCAAAATATCCGCGCCCGTTTCGGCACACACCGTGCACAGATCGCGCCCCGCAGATAGTTCCGCGTACGGCCCGGGTTGGGGCGCTCCTCACAGTTGCACGCCTTTGGGCACGCCTTTGGGCACGCCCTTAGGCAACCCCTTGGGCACGCCTTCACACGGATCGTGTCCCAATGGGAGGTTCACCTGCGGCCCCACTTGGGGCCGCCTTGCAGCGTTTCTACCTTGGCGGGCCCCTCGCAATGATCGTGCCCCCGAAGCAACTTCACATAAGGCCTCCGCGGGCAGATTCGCATAGGGTCCGCCCGCCCATTTGGGGCATCCCTTGCACAGATCGCGCCCCGAAGCGAGCTACCTGCAGCCCCAACGGAGGTGCCCGCATGTGGACCCCGGCCCATGCCGGCGCACCCTCGCACGAATCGCGCCCCACAGGCAACTCAGCGCGCCGCTGCGCGCCTGGTCCGCAGCCCCGTCCTGCGCTGCCCAGCATTGACATTCCTCCCGCGGCGCGCTGAGTATGAGGAGAGGGCCATACCCCGCAACGCCCTTTGCTGCATGAGGCTGGGCCCTGCCGCCAGCCTACTTGCATCGGTTGCGCTTCAGCTCCCGCTCTCTCTACACGAGAATCGGCCCGAATAGGCTGGTGTATCTAGGCCTCCCACTTGGGGTCAGAGTAGATGGGGCCGGAGGGTCGTGCCGCATCGCCGAAGCATCGCCGATGCGGCTCGATGCGGAGGCCGATGTTCTCCACGCCAACATTGCCGATGCACCGCCGACGCAGCGGTGATACATCGGCGATGCGGCGCGACCCTCCGAACCCGTCTACTCCGACCCCATCTGGGAGGCCTCTGGTAGAATTACGCCTCCCAAGGCCGTCTCAACCCTGGTCACGTCCATACGGAGCGCGCTGCCTTCGCAGGAGGAGGTGGGCCGCATCTTCGACGAGGACGTGTTCCCGCCACTGCTGCTGGCCTCCAGCCTGCAGGTCTCGGAGGAGGGCCAGTCGAGACAGCGACCCCCGAGACCATGGCGTCTGACTTTTGTCCCAGCCCGGCGTTTTCGCCGAGCTTCGGGCCCTGGGATCGATCCGGCTCGAAAAATGGCGCAGAGGGATGGGGCCCTTGGCACGAGCAGCGGCTGTGGCCGTGAGTTGTCCTGGGGTTCCCGAAGTCGGCTTGGCTGAGGGGCTCTTGCTTGGTTTAAGGTTGGTGCCTCAGGGGCTTACTTTGCCCGTTCCCCAGAGGTTCATCGGGATCCCCGGGTTCCCAGGGTCCCCCCAGGTTCCCCGGGTGCTTCATGCCAAGCGATGCCAAGCAATGCCAAGCACTGCGCCCATGCAGAAGGAAGCTTTCCCCCCATTGGGGTCGCGCCGGGCTCATGCTTCTTTCTTGTCTTCTTGTTCACCGCGTGATTTCTTCGCGGCGTCGGATCCCACGGGCGGCTGCCGGCCTTCGGGGGTGCCCTCGTCGCCACGGCTGGCCGCAGCTCGGCAGGCCCGTGCCGTTTGGACCCCTGGAGGGAGCCGAGGGCCCCGGCCTGCCGAGCTGCGGCCAGCCGAGGGAGCCGTTTGGTGCCGGGGCCGAGTTTGACCCCGCTCTTTCGGAGGCGAGGGCCCCGGCTTGCTCGGAGGGTAGGGCCCCGGGTGGATCCGGGTCTCCGGCGCTCCAGCTTCTCGGAGGCGAGGGCCCCATATGGGGCCCTCGCCCTGGAAGGCCCTGACCCTCGTGTGAGGGTCAGGACCTCCTATGAGGTCCTGACCCTCGTTCCCAGGGCCCGTGTCTCGGGCGTCGTCACTTGCCGGTCCCTGGGGCCCGTGCCGAGGCCCCCTCGCGTTGCGAAGAGGTCACGACGGGCGTCTTTTTTCGCTATGTTCGGCCTCTGGGGGCCCTTCCCGGGCCTCGGGGCGGGCCAAAAACGACTCATAGGACGAAAAGCCGGTCCCGGGGAAGGGGTCCAGACCTCTGGAGGTCGACGTCGTGAAAAAAGCACGACGTCGGGGGTCTGGGTGGATGGGCCCCTGGAGGCCGCCCATAGCCCAAACATCGGTCGGTCCAGTGTGGTCGGAGCCTCGTGGATCTCTGGCTGAGCTGCCGTCCCTGGGCTCCGACGCTCCCACAGAAGTTGGAGCGGCCGGACTTTGGCAGTCTTCGGCCTCCGGGGGGTCCTCGCCGGGCCTCGGGAGCGTCAAGAAACGATGCAGGGCGAAGAATCGGTGCTGGGGAAGGGGTCGAGACTTCTGGGGGCGGCGCATTGAAAAAATCACGACGTCGGATCTCTGGGAAATGGCGCAGAAAGATGGGGCCCTTGGCACGAGCAGCGGCTCCAGCCGTGATGTTTCCTGGCGTTCCCCAATCTGGCTTTGCCAAGGGGAAGTGGTCCGGACCGCCGGGGCCCACGCACGGGGCCGAAGGTTGCCCAAAGCCGCCTGCTCCAATTCTTCTCTGGAGCGTCGGATCTCAGGGTTGTCTCCGCCCGCCCTGCTATCCGAAGCCAGGTCTGCTACCTGGGCACGAGCAGCCTGCAGCTGTCCCTGGGCCTCGGCGGCCTCGGGCAGCTGGCGCCCCTGTCGCTCCGCATCCCCTGCAGCTTCCTGGTGCCGCCGGAGGGGCAGGAGCCAGGGGAGTACAGCATCGGGCCGATGGTCGTAGGGTGAAGTCGGGCATGTCCCTCTACAGGAGGAATCATTCCAAAATAGTCCAGAAGTGGTCGGGGGACGATTTTCTGACTATTTTTGACCATTTGGGGGGCATGTTTAGCGTATTGTTGTTTTTCGTCGAAACTCTGCCTCTAGGGGGACAGGCCCGACCTAATCGTAGGGGAGCAAACAATGACATGAGCAGAAGAACTCGGAGGTCCGCGCGGACCTCCGAGTTCTTGTGCTTCTGTCTTGGCTCCTCCCCCCAGAGGTCGACCAGATCATGGGGCTGTTCTGCGTGGGCGACGCGCTCCTCCACCTGGCCGTGCTGGCGGTGGTGTGGCCGCTGCTGGCAGTGCTGGTGGAGGCTCGCGGGCGGCAAGAGAGCGCGTCCGCCTCCGCGGCCCCGCGGGCCGCGGCCCCGCGGGCCATCACGGGGCGTGCTCCCTCGCGGAGGCCCCGCGCGGAGCGCACTCGCGCGACCGCGCACCCGCGGGATCGCGCCCCGGAGTCCAGGCCGCGAGGGCGCGGGTACCGCTCTTCGGAGGTGGATGGACCTCCTACCCTGACGCGTCGATTAGCGAGTGGGCCGTTCTCGGCGCGCGCGAGGGCGTCGCGGCCGTCGCTCTTTGCGGCTCCAGGTCCGTCGGTTTCGGTCCCAGGCCGGTTTCCCAAAAGGAGGTTTACTAAAAGGGAGGTGTGTCCACCGCTGAGATGTGTTCGCCGCTCGGGGGAGGCGATGGTGCAGTCTCCGCGGGTGTCGAAGAACTTCGTGCCGAAGGACGAGGTGCCCCAGGAGCTCCTCCCCACCGAGGCAGACTCCGACGTGGAGGCCGAGCGCAGGCGGGTGGAGACCCTGGACGCGAGCAGGCAGATCATCCCCGTGGTGGGAGGAGGACGAGGAGGAGGACGAGGAGGAGGAGGAGGAGGAGGAGGAGGAGGAGAAGGAGGAGGAGGAGGAGGAGGAGGTGGAGGACGAGGACGAGGACGAGGACGAGGACGAGGACGAAGGTGGAGGTGGAGTGGAGGTGGAGGTGGAGGTGAGGTGGAGGAGGGCAGTAGAAGGAGGCAGAAGAAGGAGGAGGAGGAGGAGGAGGTGGAGGTGAAAGGAGGAGAGGAGGCAGTAGAAGGAGGGTAAGGAGGAGGGGCAGTAGAAGGAGAAGGAGGAGGTGGAGGAGGAGGGAGGAAAGGAGGAGGAGGAGGAGGAGGAGGAGGAGGAGGAGGAGGAGGAGAGGAGGAGGAGGAGGGGAGGAGGAGGCGGAGGAGGAGGAAGGAGAAGGAGGAGGAGGGAGGAGGAGGAGGAGAGGACGAGGCGGATGTGGAGGTGTAGGTGGAGGAGGAGGCAGTAGAAAGAGGCAAAAGAAGGAGGAGGAGGAGGAGGTGGAGGTGGAGGAGGAGGCAGTAGAAGGAGGCAGTAGAAGGAGGAGGAGGAAGAGGAGGAGGAGGAGGGGAAGGAGGAGGAGGAGGAGGAGGAGGAGGAGGAGGAGGAGGGGAGGAGGCAGGAGGGAGGAGGATGAGGAGGACTAATAATCATAATAATGATGATGATAGTAATACTAATAGTAATAACAATAATAACGCTACTACTGATAATGGTAATAATACTACTAATAATAATAGTACCAGTAATATAAATACGAATATTAACACTACGACTAGTCATACTACTACTACTAATAATACTGATAATAATAACAACAACGAGATACTAATGACAATAAGAAGAAGAAGCGTACTAAGAATCATCATACTCATAATACTATTACTAACAATAATAATGCCAATAATCGTAATATTGCGAGGGTTCATACAAATATTAGTAATAATAATAATAATAATACTAATGATGACGATAATGATACTGATAATATTAATAAGTATAATAATAATAATAATTATAATAATAATAATAATAATAATAATAATAATAATAATAATAATAATAATAATAGTAGTAACGCTAGTAATACGAACAAGAAGAATAAGAGGAAAGTAGAGGAAGGAGGAGGATGAGGAGGAGGCAGTAGAAGGAAGAGGAGGAGAAAGACGAAGAGGAGGAGGAGGAGGAGGAGGATGAGGAGGAGGCAGTAGAAGGAAGAGGAGGAGAAAGACGAAGAGGAGGAGGAGGAGGAGGGAGGGAGGAGGAGGAGGAGGAGGAGGAGGAGGAGGACGACGAGGACGAAGTGGAGGTGGGGGTGGAGGAGGAGGCAGTAGAAGGAGGCAGACGAAGGAGGAGGGAGAGGAGGAGGGGAGAACGACGCAGTAGAAGGAGGCAGTAGTACGGAGGAGGAGAGAGAGAGGAGGGAGGAGGAGAGGAGAGGAGGAAGAGGAGGAGAGGAGGAGGAGGAGGAGGAGAGGGGAGGAGAGGAGGAGGAGGAGGAGGAGGAGGAGGAGGAGGAGGAGGAGGAGGAATAATAAGAAGACTAATGATAATAATACGAATAATGAGAAGATGAGGAGGCAGTAGAGGAAGGAGGAGGAGGAGCAGTAGAAGGAGGAAGGAGGAGAGGAGGAGGAGGAGGAGGAGGAGGAGGAGGAGGAGAGGAGCAGGAGGAGAAGGAGGAGAAGACGAGGTGAGGTGAAGGTGGAGGAGGAAGGAGGCAGTAGAAGAAGGCAGAAGAAGGAGGAGGAGGCGAAGGAGGGGGAGGGAGCAGAGGAGAGAGGAGGAGGAGGAGGAGAGGAGAGGAGGGGAAGAGAGGAGGAGGAGGAGAGAGGAGGAGGGGGTGAGGAGGCGGAGGGAGGAGGAAGGAGGAGGAGGAGGAGGAGGAGAGGAGAGAGGAGAGGAGGAGGAGGAGGAGGAGGAGGAGGAGAGGAGGAGGAGGAGGGAGGAGGAGGAGGAGGAGGAGGAGGAGGAGGAAGACGAGGTGGAGGTGGAGGTGGCAGTAGAAGAAGGCAGAAAAAGAGGAGGAGGCGGAGGTGGAGGGGGGGAGGCAGTAAAGGAGGCAGTAGAAGGAGGAGGAGGAGGAGGGAGGAGGAGGGGAAGGAGGAGGAGGAGGAGGAGGTGAGGAGGCAGGAGGGAGGAGGAGGAGGAGGAGGAGGAGGAGGAGGAATAGTAATAATAGTATCAATAGTACTAAGAAGAAGAATAAGAAGGAGAAGTAGAACAATAATAAGTAGAATAAGAAGAAGAAGAGGAGGCAGTAGAGGAAGGAGGAGGAGGAGGGGGAGGAAGAGGAGGAGTAGGAGGAAGGAGGAGGAGGAGGAGGAGGACAGTCAAAGGTCTGAAACAAGGACCATCTTAGTTTCTGGAGGGGCTACGATTTTCGTGCCGTTCCTGGGACCTAGGTCGGGGAACCAATTCGTGGCCGAGGCTCGCCGTGGCCATATAACTTCCTTCGTTCCTTATATAGCGATTTAGCGTTCCTTGTGGCAGTGCCATGACTGTAGTAGGAGGAAGAGGAGGAGGGAGGGAGGGAGGGAGGGAGGAGGAGGAGGAGGAGGAGAAGGAGGAGGAGGACAAGGAGAAGGAGGAGGAGGAGAAGGAGGAGGAGGAAGAGAAGAAGGAAGGAGAAACGGAAGAGGGGGAGGAGGAGGAGGAGGAGGCAGTAGAAGGAGGAGGAGGAGGAGGAGAAGTTGGACGAGGAGGAGGAGGGGAAGGATGAAGAGGATGATGATGATGAGGAGGAGGAGGAGGAGGAGGAGGAGGGAGGAGAAGGGAGGAGGATGAGGAGGAGGAGGACGCGAGCAGGCAGATCATCCTCGTGCGCAACCTGCGCCGAGCCTACAAGCACCACAATGAGCTCGTCGCGTATGCCTTGGTGCTGCTGGTGCTCGCCGAGGTCTCCGTGATCTTGGCCTACCGGCAGACGCTGTACGTCATCCTGGCCGTGAACTTGCCCATGCTCGACGATCAAAAAGCGACACGGGCATAAATTCTCGGAGGTCCGCGCGGATGTCCTGGATCGGCCTCGTGCACCTTCTGGCGCAGCGCCGTCTGGCGCCACCCCTGGCGCGCTCCAAGAACTCCGCGCGGACGCCCGAGGAAGCATGTCTGTGCAGCTGTTTGCTCCGCCACGTCCTCGCGCTCCTCTTCGCCTTCTCCTGGTGGTGGGCCCCGCTCGTCTACTGGCGCGCGAGGGCCACGACGCACGCGGTGCGCGGCGTGTCCTGGGCCTCGGACACGGGCATGGTCTTCGGCCTCCTCGGCGTGAACGGCGCGGGCAAGACCACGACGTTCCAGCTGATGTCGGGGCTGCGGACGCCGAGCGCGGGAGAGGTGAAGATCCTGGGCATGGACGTGCAGACGCAGGTCGAGGCGTGCCGCCGGTACATCGGGTACTGCCCGCAGTTCGACTGCCTCCTGCCCCTGCTGACGCCGGAGGACCACCTCTACCTATTTGGGCGCATCAAGGGCCTCTCGGGCAAGGCGCTCGACGAGGCCGTCGAGAGCAAGCTCGAGGAGATGAAGCTCAGCTCCTATCGCAGCCGCTATGCTGGCACGCTATCGGGCGGCAACAAGAGAAAGCTCAGCGTAGCCATTGCGCTCATCGGCGAGCCGCCGATCATCTTCCTTGACGAGCCCTCCACAGGCATGGACCCGTTCGCGCGCCGCTTCATGTGGAAGGTCATCGACGACGTGGCGGAGAAGCGCAAGAAGTCGGTGGTGGTACTGACGACGCACTCCATGGAGGAGGGCGAGGCCCTCTGCTCCAAGGTCGCCATCCAGGTCGATGGTCAGCTGCGCTGCCTGGGCTCCGTGCAGCAGGTCACGAAGAGCAACAAGCGGCATGAGCATCAACTTTCGGAGCTCCGCGCGAAGTTTCGGGGATCTGTGTTGGCCCCCCCCCGGGCCGGCGCCGGAGGCGCCGCCCCTTTGCGCGCTCCGCGCGCCAGGGAGGGGGGCCCAGCGCCGATGCAAGAGCTCCGCGCGGAGCTCTAAGAGCTAATGTTCGATGTGCCGCTCCTCCGCCCTGCAAGGTCAAGAGCCGCTACGGCACGGGCTACGAGGTGCCGGTGAAGTTCAGCCAGGTGGGCCTTGAGCAGCGCGAGCGGCAGAGGCTGGCGCTCGAGGCGGCGGGCCTTCGGGCCGACGGCGCCTACCTGGTGACAGCGGAGCAGGCCACCGGCGCGCTCGGCAAGGGCGAGGGAGCGCAGGCCAAGGTCCCGGGGCCCCCAGACGGTGTTGTGACCACGCCGCGTGGTTCGGCTGCACGCAGGAGTGACCCTCCGCCGGAGCGACGTTTGCTGCTGGCCCCATCGGGGCCCCCCGATCGCCGAACGCGGTGCGGCAGCAGCGTCCTGCGCGCTTCCGTTTGGCCCCCCCGCGGCCCCCCCAGAGGCACCGCACCAAAAGTCATCCTTACCCGGGGTCACTCTTGCGTGCAGCCGGGTGATGAGTCGGTGGGGATCGGGGTCACCGCACGGCTTTGGGACTTGGGGGCCGTTCTTCGAGGGTGTTTCGGACGACTGGGGCCTCCAGAGTCCCAAAACCGCGTGGTGACGGATCGCGCGGTGAGGTCGTCGGGGATTCCGAGGTCACCACCCAGTCCGTCACCACACGGTTTTGAGGCTCCGAAAAGGTCCAGCGGATGTTCGCCCACGGCGGCCCCTTCAGCATGAGCACTGACCAGGTACCGCACGCCGTCTTCGTCGACTGGTGCATCCTGGACGCGCAGGTGCAGAGGCTGGTCGGGTGGAGCTATGACAGGGATAAATCGTTCTAGAGCGTTCCGAAACACCCTCGGATAGTTCCAGAACGCTCTGGAACGGCCGCAGCGACCGATACATCGTCGCGAGGGATCCCAGAGGCCAAAAATGGCCAACAAAATCCCGTCGTGTTTTTTGTTCAGGACGCGAGGGGTCGTCTTAGGCTCAGCATCATCACCGACAACAGCAAAACAATTTCATCAGCACCATCATCATCACCATCATCATCATCATCATCACCATCATCATCGTCATTATCACCACCACCATCATTACCATCATCATCATCATCATCAGCAGCAGCAGCAGCATCACCACTATCATCATCATCATAATCATCATCATCATCATCATCATCATCATCATCATCACCATCATCATCATTTACATCATCACCAGCAGCAGCATCAACATAACCACCATCATCACCATCACCATCACCGTCACCGTCATCACCATCAACCTAGTCATCAGTATCAACAACATCACTATCACCATCATCATCATAACTATCACCACCACCACCCTCATCATCATCATCATCATCATCATCATCATCAACATCATCATCATCATCATCATGTTCATCTTCAGCACCATCATCATCATCATCATCATCATCATCATCATCATCATCATCATCATCATCATCATCACCATCATCATCATCATTCTCATCATCATTCTCATCAGCATCATCATCATCAGCATCATCACCATCATCAGCAGCAGCATTATCATCAGCATCATCATCACCATCATCAGCATCACCATCATCATCATCATCAGCAGCAGCATCATCGTCGTCATCATCGCCATCCTCAGTGTCCGAGTTTGTCCCTTCCTTGGCTTCGTCTTAGGCTTGTCGCCTTCCTGGGCCACCTCGCGGGCGGGCAGCGCGTCACACTGCTGGAGCATCACGGGCTCTCCGCGCGGCTGCGGCTGCCGGAGCTGACCGACCCGTCGCGGCTCTCCGCGCTCTTCGAGGGCCTCCTGGAGGAGTCGAAGGGTGAAAAACGTCCACCCCCAGAGATCTGAGGCTCCGAAAGAATGGGGCGGCCGGTCTTTTGTTGTTCTCGATTTCTTGGGGCCAGGGCCCATCGAGAAACTACTCGGGATGAACAACGGGCCCCAGGGAAGTTGTCCAGAACCGCTCGCGCCGTGAGAAAATCGCAGTGGGAGGTTGTCCAGCGTTGTTGTCGGCTCTCGGTGTTTTTCCGCCCTTGGGGTGCCTTCCAGCAGCTGCACCTCGCCGAGAGCGTTCCAGGGGTGACTGCCAGAATCGTTGCGAAAGCCCGCTGGAGATCTGAGCTATGGTCCGAAAACCTCACCTCGTCGCGTCACAGAAAATCACGACGGGAGGTTCTTGGCCGCTTTCGGCCCCGAGGGGCCCTTGCCGGGCTCAGGGGCCGCGGGAACGACTCGCGATGAAAAACGGCTCCTGCGGAATGTAAGCGAGATTGTGGGGACTTCTGGGGGAGCATAGAAGAAGAAACAGCGGCAGACACATAGACTGCCGGCGCCCCCCTGGCAGCGCCTCCAGCGCCGATGCGAGAATTCCGCGTGGAGCTCCGACAGTTTACAGTCGGGCCGCTGAAGAAGGAACCCTTGTCGTTGGGAGGACCCCTGTGTTCACTGATCGTTGTACAGTTTGTCTCAGGTTGTCATGAGGTCTCCTGCAGGAAATCGAAGTTCAACCTGTGAACAAAAGGGGCCTCGTTCCTCATGTTGGGTTTCTTCTGACAGCGTTTCGACTGGCAGGGGCCAGAATTTAATGGCAGGGGCCAGAGTTTAAAGAGCAGGGGCCAGAGTTTAAAGCAGTCGGCGTGTGGGACAGCCGAACCGTCGGCGGCTGAGCTACCCTCGCTCCCTCCTCTCGGCCTCCTCTGCTCCGCCTCTCCTGGTTATTTTTCCCACCTGTCGGGGTACTTCCAGGCGCAGCCGGCCATCCTGGGCGGACGCCGGCGTATCGCACATTTGCTGGCTGACCTGCGGCGCCGCCCGCACTGATGCTGAGCGCAGCAAAAGAAACATCTGACAGCGTTTCGACTGTATGTTCATACCGTTTTTCTTCTTCTGGAGAGGCTGCTCTCCGCGTCTTCTGCACCGCCTGACGTGGCTTCTCTCTGCCGGCGGCATTCGAACGCCTGGCCTGGCCCAGGAGACATACGGGGGCCCCCCATACAGTCGGTCCGAGGTATAAGATCGAGGTCAGCTCGGGGAGGGTACCCTCGTGCTCTTCGTGTTTGTTGGCTGTTTTTGTGCATCCTGGGGAGGGCACTCTTGGAGGTTCTGTCTCTCTTGGTCGACGGAGGGCCTCATGTTCTTGAGGGGTGCTCTTCTGGCCCAGGTCCGACTGTTGCCTCGAGGGGCGACCCCAGACCTTCAAGGGTACCCCGGCCTGCCCTTCCCCTGCGGCGGCCCGTAGCCGTTTTGGCTCAAGTGCGACCCCCATCGCGCCCTGGTGGCTCGTGCCTGGACGAAAGCCAGGGGCAGCAGGCTCAGGCCCCACACCCGGCCGCAGAGGCCCACCTTCCGCCCTGCGAGAGCTGCCACGCCGACGGGGCTCTCTCCAGCGCGCGGTGCCCGCGGGAGCCACTGCGGCGCCAGGGGCCGCCACCGCGGTTCGCACGCGTGCCGTCCATACGTGGCGGCTCGCGGGCAGCCGCGGTTGGTTTGTGCGACTCGCGGTCCTCGCTCACGGGCTGCATGCGACAGCAAGAAAAAAACACAATGATATTCGTAATACGGAAAATAGCAACAATAACATTATCCATCATCATCATCAGCAGCATCATCAGCATCATAGTAATAAGCACAATAGTACGAATACTAATAATACTCACGATCATACTAATAGTACGAAAATGATAACACTAGTACTAATAATACTCACGATCATACTCACTCACAATAGTACGAATACCAATAATAACAACAATAATACGAAAACATAAGAACATAAAATACGAAAACCAATAATATTATTAAGAAGAAGAAGAAAAATAATGAGAATAAGAAACATAATAAGACACATAAGAAAAATTTAAATAAGAAGAAGAAGAAAAATAAGAACAATGATAATGATAATCAGTGCCACACATACGGCCTCACGTGCGACAAGGGATGGCCCAAGGCCAGCGACAGAGGCCAGCTCCCGCGGCGCGGCACACGTGGCAGGGCCAGTGGACTCACGCCCACAGACAAGCGGCCCGAGCCCATCGCCAAGCAGGTCGGTGCTAGCCTCGGCACTTCATCAGGACAGCAGCCGCCCGCTGCCGCAGACCGTGTTCCCCGTGCGGCCGGCGGAGGGGTGGGGCAGGGCAAGGCAGCTCGTAGGTCGTAACAGCGGCAAGAGGAGCTGACCACCAAGCTGACGCAGCTGTGGGCAGGGACGCCGCAGCGATCGACAGGAGAATCGAACAGCTGGAGCTGCTGGCTGCTGCATGCCAGCACGTGGACGCCGACGCCCTGCCAGATGCGGCCGCCAAGCTCCAGAAGGCTCGTGCGGACCTGGTTGCGGCAAGGGCGGGGCAGGCCGCCACGCCGCTACCTGCCCAGCGCACGGCGCGCTGCCACATCGGGGCCCAGTGCGCTGCCGGCAAGGTCGACAAGATTCAGCAGCAGGTCGCTGAGCTTGAACAGACCAAGGCCCAGTGGAAAGAGCAGATCGAGGCCAACACAGCGGCCCTGGACGAGCAGAGCACCAGGCTGGTGCAAGCCAAGGCAGACCGGCAGCGCGAGGAGGAGGACGCCAAGATTGCACGGGCGGACACCTCACCACACAACAACGGCATCAGCAGGTTCGCCACACAGGCGGAGGAAAAGATCCAGGCCGCAGAGGCCAAGTCAGGCGACGCAGAATTTCAGAAACTATTCGACGAGTTGGCTGGGTTGTTGGACGCACTTCACGCAGCACGCAAGACTGGCGCCGTCAAGGATGGCGCAATTTGAGATCAGTAAATGGACGCACCGCAGTTCGACAGCGAGCTTTTTTGAAAGAAGAGATGGCCGAGCTGGCGAAGCACGTACCCGAAGAGAAGCTCAAGGATATGCAGACCTCGCGCCAGCAGTATCAACAACAAGCCCACGAGGCAGCTCGGCAGCAGGCATTGGCTTGTGCAAGACCCTCAAAAGGCCATGGTTCAGGCCGAGACTCGGGCTGCCAGCCGCACCGCGGGTGACGACGACGGCTGCCACGGCGACATCATGAACACCTCGGCGGCGGAACCGTCGAGGAGGGCCACCCTCTCTTCACGCACTACCGCACTTAGCATTGTGCCAGGCAACGGACCCGCGCTGGAGGCGGCATCCTCTGACAAGGTCCTCTCTTTTAGTGCAACAGCTGTCACCTGGCATGGACCCTTTTATGAGTCAGTCCTCTTGAAGCCCCATTATGATTAGCCTGGCGAAGGACCCGACCATATGTAGTTGTGAGTACCGGAATTGTGAATATCTTCTTCGGTGGCGCTCCCTATGGGCCCACGAACCGTACGAGGGGTGCGCCGACTTGCGTGGCGGGGTACACAACACGAACGAAGAAGTTGGTCTAATTACGAGAGAGTGAGCGCGGGTGAGTCTGAGCGCGAGTGAGTCTGAGTGTGAGTGGGCCTGCGCGCGAGTGAGTATATTTGCATGAATGCGAGCATGGCCACGCCTGGTGTATGTGTATATGTGTATATACGTATATATGTATATCTATATAAAAATATGCATACATAAATGCGCATATACATATATATATATATATATATATATATATATATATATGTGTGTGTAGATGGTTCACGTATGCCTGACCCTGAGTACTCGTGACACTGAGCGTGGCCGCCGCAGGAAGCTTCCCCTGAAGCCCCGACAGCAGCGCCCGCACGCCGCGACGCCCATGTCGGCACGCTCCTCACGAGGATCGCGCCCGCTTCCTTCCCGTTAGTTTTCCCCCTCTTTGCCTGTGCACGCCCATGTCCAAGGCTGCGGGCGCGGCGCCGCACTGAGTCCCCGCGACGCGCGCGGGTCGTCCGTTGCGCGGAGCAGAGAGAGCTAGTTGGTTGACTGATAGCGGGCAAGGCTGTGGCCGCTGGGCAGAGCGACGACGGGGGCGAGCGAGGCTCTGGGCAGAGCACAGCGCGGAATTCCCGTGACACGCGCTGGTCGCCCCGAGAGGGTCCCAGCGACGCGCGCGGGTCGCCCGCGGCGCGAGGCCAAACGGTCCGCTCCTCAGGTCAAGCCTCGCGGCTAAATTCGGTGAAGCTCAGCTCTCTGGCGAGGGCCGCCGCCTCCCCTCTGCGCCGCTTCGTGCGCGTGGCAAACTGCCCCAGCTGCTTCCGCAAGCCCTCCGGCGGCCCTGCCAGGAAGAACTCGATGCGAGACGCCCGCTTGAGCAGGAGGTCCTCGTGCCGCGTGGCGCGCGAGAGCAGCGCGCAGAGCTCCAGCCACCAGTCGTCGTCCTCCTTTTTGCCGTTCCCCACCTCGTGGCGGCCGCAGTCCAGGATCACGCCTGGGCGACGTCGGCCGAGGGAGCAGCGCGCCGGACAGCCGACGGCTCAGGGCGAGAGTCCACGGGACCGACAGAAGGTTTGGCTGTGGACCGCTCAGGCCCAGAAGCTTTGGCCGTAGACTTCCCGGGGGGCGCCGTTCCCTCGCCCCGTCGCCTTCGCGCATGGCGCGCCCCTGGCACGCCGCCGCAGCGATGACCCTGCCGCGCGAGAACGGGAAGCCCGTTCGGGTGACCTTGGAGGTGCGGAACGTGAGCGGCTTCGACGTGCGAGGCTCGATGAACACCAACGGGCCCGTGAGGTCCCCCGTGAGGCTATCGTCGCGGCGTTCGAGGTCGTGCATGAACGGCGCGCTCGCGCACTTCTCCATCTGCACCCAGAAACCCAGCGGCAAGTGCTTCAGATAGATCCTCTTCTCCCCGTCTCTCTCTCTCGGCTTTCTCGACGTCGTCCCGATACCGAGGGCCCACGGCGATGTGCACGATCTGCCCCGCGGCATCCTTG